TGATTCATAGTTTTAGGTTTTGATACGAGATACATACATAATGTAATTAAGCATTGTTTAGTAAGGGGAGAAGAGGGAACTCTAGAGTGAGAGCTAGTATCTTCCCTACCTAACCCGTCTTTAACTTCTACTTGGCACAACACAATTTGAATACTTCCACAACAGAATTCATATACTTATTACTGATTCATGATAAGGAAAAAGATATTTTTTTTATATTGCCTTCATTTTACAAGTATTAGTTAAGTTTAGTTAGTTGTTTACTTTAATTTCAATTATCAAAAATTACAAAATTATCAAAAATTACAAAAAGAAAAATTACAAAAAGAATAGAACTTTCATTCCTATTATAGATTCTAAAGTTTGAGTAAGAATATTTGGCTAATATAATTTGTTATCTATTTTCTTCTGATTTGTAGTTGCATATTGTAGTTCTTTCCTATGTGTTTGATATTCGAGGCTTAATAAAAAAGTCATATATTACTTGATAACGATACATATACTTGAGCAGTATCCCATATTTAAATATATTAATTGTATTCTTATTTGTTTCGAAGTCAAGTTTTTGCCTAGTTGTTGCTGGTGATCAAGTTTTTTGCGTTGTTGCAAAGTAAGAATTATAAATACGGAAAATTAAGAATATAATCGCATACATTGCATTAACATATAAAGGTCAGGATCAATTTTTTGGCGCCATTGTTGGAGAGAAATATACAAAATTTTTTATGAAATTTTTAGAAAGAAAATTTCAATTTTAGAAAGTCTTATTTAAACTTTTAGATTTATTATAGGAATATTGTAGTATTATTTTTATATAAAGTTCTTGTTTGTGTGCTTTTATTTTATGTGTTTCGTAGTATGTATGCGTAGTTCAGGTTCTACTGGATTAGTGCCATGCGATTCTGAATTAGAAAGAATTATTCAAAAAAATTAAAAATAAAAAATTACTGAAAAAATAAAAAATTTCAAGAAATGACAAATCAAAATAATCAAAATATTTAAATTAATCAAGAGTTTAGACCTTTAAGAGATTATGCAAACCCTACGGTGAATGAACTTCATTTTAGTATTCAAAAACCTTTAGTATTCAAAAACCTGTTGTAAAAAACCTGTTGTAGTGGTTCATTTGAACTTAAACCTACTATTATCCAAATGGTATCAAATTATTGGTTTGTGGGAGCACAAACAAAAGATCCAAATTTACATCTTGCTCATTTTCTAGAAATGTGTGCTACATTTAAATATGATGGTGTATCGATTGTTGCTATAAATCTTAGACCTTTTTCTTTCTCATTGAGGGATAAGGCTAAGATATGATTACATTCGTTAGCACCTGAATCTATTAGAACTTGAGGTGAAGATCTATCAGAACTGGAGTGATTTAGCGTTGAAATTCCTTTCTAAATATTTTCCACCATAAAAAACTGCTAAGTTTAGAAATGATATTACATCTTTTTGTCAGTTCGAAGGGGAATCTATTTATGAAGCATGAGAACGATTTAAGGGACCAATGAGTAAGTGTCCACACCATGCTATACCAGATTGGTTAATAATTCAAACTTTTTACAATGGATTACCTGGATCTCCTGGATCTCTTAGATCTATTACCTGGATCTCTTAGATCTATTATCGATGTTGTTGCTGGTGTTTCTTTGATGTCAAAACTATTTCATGATGCTTATGTTTTAATTGAAGAGATGACTACTAATAATTTTTAATGACATTCTGAAAGAGCAAATCCTAAGAAAGTAGCCAATATTCATGAATCTTATGCTTTTTTAATGTTAGCAAATCAAGTTGCTGCAATTTCAAGGAAA